CCCCAAAACCCCAAAACCCCAAAACCCCAAAACCCCAAAACCCCACAAGATAGATTTTTAATTGAACCTCAAAAATATTATTTTTAATTTTCACAGTAGAATGAAAGAATTGAGTTGAAGATCTGGTCCCATGTAAAAATAGTTCCCATTGCATTGCCCATGCCAGTTCCGAGATTTTTAGGAACAGGGACTCCATCAATCATCACAGTGCCTTCACTGGCTGCATTAGTGTACATTCCACCCCCATGTGCTGCTTTTTCATTTTCGAGCTTGGTAATAAGGTCTCAAATAATAGGATAGTGGCCTATTTTCCTGCATTTATAGCAGGATACATTCTTCGCTTTCCTCATGTATTCTTCATCATTGAATAAAATATTCTGGAGTTCTGACCTAGGAATTGCTGGGTTCTTGCAAACATCCGATTTATGGCCTCTATTTCCTCAGTTATGACAGATTGCCTTTGTATCAGGTGCTGCTTGGCTGGTAGTAACGCCTACATTGGCTAGCACCTCCAAATTTTCATCATCAATACTGACCAAACTCTTAACATGTGTCTTTTCTCAGTTAGGACCCTTAATACAGAACCCGTAGAGGTAATCTTCACATAGAACTTTGGGCTTATGAGCGTTCCTGCAGTTGCGACCGTTCTTGCAGAATCCTCTCTCATAATAAGGACAATCAGTAGTCTTTATCCTGGGATCTCTGTGCAAGTACTGGCAATTCTCGTTCTTACAATTCCCTTGTTGATAGTACTTGCAGATAGGCATCTTAGACAGATCACGAGTGTGCAAAAACTCACAGTTCTCCCCCTTCTTACATAAGTTCCTTAGCCAATGCGTACACACAACTGTGTGCTTCTTTGACTCATTGATGTGGTTCGGAATTGGAGGCGGCATCATCGGCTGATCGTACCGGTGAGGCTGATTGTAGAAGTTTCCTCCTTGTAGAGTGTATTGCTGCCCTCTATCTTCTGGAGCTTGGTCGTATTCCATTAAATAATTATTATCCTCAAAATTTTATAGTTAAAGTGGGGTTTTGGGGTTTTGGGGTTTTGGGGTTTTGGGGTTTTGGGGTTTTGGGGTTTTGGGG